CCTCCCTCCCTCCCTCCCTCCCTCCCTCTTTCTTTCTTTCTTTCTTTTTTTTCGAGACAGGGTTTCTCTGTCGCTTTGGAGCCTGCCCTGGAACTAGCTCTTGTAGACCAGGCTAGCCTTGTACCCACAGAGATACGCCTGCCTCTGCCTCCTGAGTGCTGGAATTAAAGGCGTGCACCTTTCAGCTAGTCTGCTTTCTTGAAAAAATAACTCTAGGTGTGTCTACTTCTTTTCATGTAAATTAGGGCCTAGCTTCCGGTTCTAGACCCTATGTGAGGGATGTGATTTTTCAGACAAGAGCATGTCAGGATAAAATGATTCGAGGCAAAAAAGCTAGTCCACATGGGTGTGTGTCTCACAAACGGCATCTCTTCAGCACTAGAGTAATCTATTACGCCAAGGTTCCAAATCCCTTTGGTTCCCAGTGGCTGTGGATGGCCTGTACCTGTTTACAGAAGGAGTCCCTGTGGGCTCAGGCAATCCGCTTTCCCGGAAAGTCAGGAGGCTGCATTTCCTGGCGCCTTCCACAGGCGCTCGCTCCATGGGGCTCTCTGTCTGCCCTGCTCCTCTGCAGACCGCAACAAACCTTGTCCTTAGGGCAGGAATAATTAATGGGGTGAGTGTAGGTTTGTGGCTTTGGAGCAATGAGGGTGAAACTGCTTGTCCATTTCAGCCTTCTCATAAACCATTGGGACCCTGGCTTCCCGAGTCAACGGTGATCCTGTGAGGCTAACAAAAGAGGCCCATTGATCATCGCCCTCTGAAAGAGCTGCCAGAGTAAGGCTGTCCTTCACAACTTGCTGACATCTCTTGACAATTTAAATATGGTCCAAGCAAGAGGCCTGAAGCCAGCATAGCGTGGGGTCGGGAATAAAAGGCAAATGTGAACTTTTGCGGCAGACGGCTAGTGCAGGGTGCAAAGTAGCTTGTCCGGGGTGACATTTTGATTGCGTATTAGGAAGCTTTTCAGAGTCTCCAGGCTCAGCTTGTGAGACACTGCTGGTAAGAGAAATCCCAGGGGTCCCTGAACACTCTGCAAACAAGAGATCAGGAGGCAGGGATGCGTCTTGAAGCACGTGGGCATGTCCTTGGGTCCCAAAACGGTGTCAGAAAGCAAGGGAGGGGGGCAGAGTCATGGATGGAGGCCGGGGCAGGATTTGCAGAGGCAGACTTTTCAACCTGTCTGTACTTGATGTTCAGAAAACTGTGACTAAGGCTCAAAACACTGGCCATCGCCCAGATCTGCTTCTGCTTCTGCTGTTATAAATAAAGCTTTATTGGAACTCAGTTATATATGCTTGTGTATATACTGTTGATGGCCAAGTTCCCTCTGCATCAGGAGAGTGAATGGCTCTCAGAGCTGAAGATGTCAGTTATTTGATCCTTGACAGGGAAGGTGTGTTTCTTCCTGCTCTAGATTAGTGAGGGCCAGCGGTGACTCTCATGAAAGTGTGTTCGTGTATTTCATGAAGAGTGTGTGCACGCACCTAGGTGCTTGTGTGTGGACGTCAGAGGTTGTTGTTCAGCTGCCATGTGCCTTATTTGTGTGTGCACATGTGTGCATGGGTTCATGTATGCATTCGTGGATGTGTGGGTGCACAAGCTTGTGGGGGCCAACTTCCGGTGTTGTTCCCCCAAGATGATTATCCTTTTTTATGAGGCAAGGTCTTTCACTGAGAAGTAGAGCTCCCCAATTCAGTTAGACTTTCTCCTGTCAAGGAATCCTCCTGTGTCCGCCTCCCAGAAGCAGGTTTAAGAGTGTTTCAACCACATCTGGATTTTTATGTGTATTCTGGGGACCAGTGGCAGCCCCTTGCATTTCCATAGCTAGTGTTTTTCTGACTGATTGAGAGAACTCCTCAGTTCCTTTGGTTTGGTGTCTTACTCTGCAACTCGTATTAGCCTGGAAATCACTACGTGGCTCAGGCTGGTTTTAAACTTGAGGCAATCCTCCTGTCTCAACCTCTCAGCTGCTGGGATTGCAGGTGTGAGCCGCCATGCCAGACTAGGATGGGCTTTATAGAGAGGATATCTCAGAGAGGCTAGGACACCACGTGTGGCCCTTGTGGTCTCAGAAGTCGGCTTGAGGGAGCGGGGGCTACAGTGTTGTCTTTTTATGGCAAGTCTAACTTCTACTCCATTCTCATTTTGTTTTGATAAGATAGTAGTGTTTATGGCAAACAGTTCCAGCCTCCTGTGACTTTAGGGATCATGGGAAAACATGGGTGGAATTTGAATTACTTAGAGCTCTCACAATTCAAACTGCCACTTCTTTGTTGGAAGGGTAGAAGTAGAAAACATGATTTTGGTTGTGGATTGGTTTAGACGTGACTACAAAAATTCCCAGGACCACAGGCAAGTTAAGGGAAAGCCCAGCACACCAGTTCTGGAATCCTACAATTAAGTATCCAAGCTTTTCAGACGGAAGTAAAGTTCTTTATTGTCAAGAAGGAGTAGTTTTCAAAGTGCACACTGCAGGGTTGGAGAGAAGGGCCAGTGTTTAAGAGTGGGTACCACACTGCAGGGTTGGAGAGAAGGGCCAGTGTTTAAGAGGATCCAACACTTCTAACCTCCTCCTGCATCTCATGTGTATATACCCCACACTTAAATAAATAAAATTAAAAAAAATTAAAACACCACATTACTAAATTATAAAAAAAAATCATGGTAATTTGGGTGGAAAATTCTACAACTTTTTCTCTTCCTTTACTACAACTGACCCAAATTTAGGTCCGTCATCAATGTGGGATCCAGAGCTAGAGGCCCCTCGTCCCTTTTGACTCAGTTTCTACTCTCATACTCAAGACTCACCTACAGAGAAGCTGTTTGCCTTGCGTGAAGAAAACAGTGGGTTGTGCTTTGAAGGGATGTGAGTCTGCAGCCGCGGCATAATCATTCTCTCTGGCCTGGAGGCCATGGGGCTGGACTGTAGTCTTCCACGTCTTTGCCAATGGTTCTCTCTTTCCTTGTCCGTGAGCCTGAGACTCAACATTCCAGTCACCGGCCTTGCCTTATTTCCTCACCTCTGCTGACTTCATTGCTTTCTTTTATTTCTTCCTATGTTCATTTTCCTCAGCTCCTCTCACTGGAGAGAGGACATCTAGAGAAGTCTTTTTCAAGCGCTTCTAGGGACAGCTCACCTTTCTGCTGTCCACAGCATAAGCGGGTAGGTTGCAGCCCAGATGGGGGAGGGTGTGAGTATGGGCTTCATTGGGGCCTGCTTCCTCCTTTTATTTTTTTTTAAAGACTATTTCTTTTCCTTTCTTTTCTTATCCTTTACCCATATGCTGCTATTTCATTAGGTAGATT